CGAGCCCAATCTGGTCTCGTCTTTTTTTGTATATATTTGAACGCATTCATGAATGCCAAAATGCTCGTGGATAATAAGTCACGGATAAAGGCGACAATGCCTCGTTGCTCATATTATTTGGAGGGCCTAATCCAGGTGTTGTAAATTCTACATTACTGTGGACAGACCAGTTTATCCATTGGACATCAGCCGTTGGAAGTTCATACCAAATCAATGATCGTGGCCACTGCTCATCTTATTATCGTCAGCCTTGGTTAAATCCACTGTTGGATGAAGACCTTCTCAAGCGTGGCGTCAAAGTAATAACCTGGCTCAGCACTGCTTAGCTCTGAGATCTGACACGATCTGGTGCAATCGACATTAATTAGTCATCGGCTTTGAAAAAAGTGTTTTAAAAAATCTCATTCCGTGTGCCAATAGCTTTAATCTGCAATGCTTCAGTCTCCATCCCTTGCTGTGTCGACACAAAGTTAAAGTGCTTTTGCAGCCACTTAATATGAATATGTTATTATTTTTTGCTCAGGAAATCCTTACCGTCTTGAGCTTCTTGTCTTTTAATGACGACTGACTGACGAAACAGGTGGACTTCTCCACAAATCTGGCTGTCGCCTGATGAAGCTGGTTGTAATTACTGGCGAAACATCGTACTCAGATTACAAATGTCGTGGCTTGGCTCTCCAACACACCGGTGTGCTGTACTAGTGACGAATTGGCCACGTTCTGTTTACGTGACAACCCTTACTAGTTGGCTGTGTCGGGTGGTGGCGGGTTTTAACGACACATTTATATATTTACGCGATCTAACCCAAAAAAAACATCTATTATGCGCGACTGACTGTTCTGTTTGGACGATCATTCAGCGTGTGCAACGACGCATCAACGAATCGACTCGAACTGTTTTTTTTTTGTGTACACCCAGGGCAATGCATTAAACGGTGCATGCGAGAACAGATTGGATCCTCACAACAACGGGCGGAGCGCCGGGCGGCTAAAACACAGCGAGTCGGCACAGCAGGGGGGAGCAGAGGTGGTGCATCGGCCAGTCGTCTCCGTCAGTCAACCCGTGACACCTGGGACTGCCCCGTGACCTCCGGGCAGCGGGCGCTCGACACTTCGCGTGGCGCTAAATGTGCACCTAGCCTGGCACAAGCGCCGTGGGGACGTCACCGCCACTCAGTGGCGAATGGCGCTTGTTGTTGTTGACCCTCACAGCGCTACAGGCAATCGGTTCACGCAAATCCAACAGCCACTCCAGGTTCATTTGTCCGCTCGCTTGCAGCGGTTGCTGCGCGTCACGTCCACGCGTCACGTCCACGCGTCAACTTTGCACACGATGATCAGCAATAACGGAGAGTCTTGCAGTCGCAATGTGCTGTGATCGAAGGCTGCTGGAGAGACTTGCGCGACAACAGCCGATGGGGAGGAAAACAAGATGAAATGAAGAAACGGACTTTTTTTTTTTACTAAATATTTTTCGTCAATAAAAAATACATTGGAAACCCTCGAACAATATATATATTAGTATCGTGGGACCTCCTTTGCCAGTGTCAAAATATAAGAATAGGTTTTCCCCTTTTTCCTGGCAATAAAACACTGTTTGAGACTAGGCTCTAAAGAAAGCTGTATCTGGTGTGCACCAATCAGTTTCAAAGACAACGCATATACTGTCAAAGCATGTTTTTTTCTTTGTATTTTCACCACAATTATCCGTGGTTAATGCAGACATGACTCCTTGCAAAAGGTTTCAGTTTGGTGTTTTAACATCTTAACACAACTGTTTTGTTGCCAGAAAAAAAGGGGAAAACCTATTCTAATATATATTAGCGACAGCGGTAAGCTTGCGTTAACTATATAAAGCATTAATACCATCCATGAAAGCGTGCGCACGTATCCATGCTTGATTGAAGCTGCAATGAAACGCCATGCATTTATATATTTTCCCTTTGTGCTCAGTTTGTGGGTTTTTATTAGCAGCGTGCCACTATTAATTTCGACCATGATGGCAACCATCAAATAAATATTTTTGAATCGACTCACGACCCCCGCACCTAATCGTGACAATTCGTCGAATCATTAACGGAGGGCAGATCGATACAAGCCGAACAGTAGTAGTAGTAGTGATGGCGATCCAATTAATTGATAGCGGGAGGATCTAATCATACATTGTGAGTGTTTTTTTAAAGGGGTGTCCTTTTCGATTCGCAAAACTCCTAGCGAGTTGACAGAGGAGGTTATCGACAAGACACACCGATGCAGTGAGATGAGAGAATTGTGGACAAACGAAAGCGGTGTAATGAGGTGAGAGAAAGGAGATGCAGCCGAGACAGATCTGTCGTGAGGACGAGAGAGATGTAGGCAAGCGGCGATGTACGTATAGGTACAGTATGTTTACTGCATTGGTATTGTTGCTGCATTGGTATTGTTGCTGCATTGGCATTGTTGCTGCATTGACATTGTTGCTGCATTGGTATTGTTGCTGCATTGGTATTGTTGCTGCATTGGTATTGTTGCTGCATTGGTATTGTTGCTGCATTGGTATTGTTGCTGCATTGGTATTGTTGCTGCATTGGTATTGTTGCTGCATTGGTATTGTTGCTGCATTGGCATTGTTGCTGCATTGGCATTGTTGCTGCATTGGCATTGTTGCTACATTGGCATTGTTGCTACATTGGCATTGTTGCTGCATTGGCACTCGTGCACTGCCCATGCTCCTGGTGCTGTTGATGCACTTGGGCTACGCCCATCCCCAAACCTTTATAAACAGTTTGCCTTTAGAGGCTGACTCCTTTGCCTGATGACGAGCGCTTGTGTTGCGATCGAAACGTCGTGATTTATTTTATTGTATTTCTAACTACGTGACTTTACCGAAAGAACCAAAGAGTACAGACTGTATGGTTAACTTCTTTCGCGCCGTACGTAGCCAACCGTGCTAATCGAAGGTGCGAGATGTATTGAGATAAGAACATTGCGTTGCTCCAGACAATTTGGAGGGGATTCAGTACGTAGCTCGTAATGCTCGTTAGCATCTAAATTGCCGCCGATATTTGGGGCATTCCGAGGTAATCAGGAACCCGGGGCTCCTTGAGCTGCTAGGGACCTTCGCTCCGTGTGCTTTTCGCCTCCTAACGCCACCGTTGCTGCTGCCTAAGAGTGAACTCCCACCACTGCAGGTCGCAGCACTTTGAGCGCGGCAGGGTAATCGCACCGCGCGGAGGAGATTAAACGCACGCGTGCTCCGGCAGGTCGCTCAAGCTCGCACACGGAGGCGGCGCCGAAACCACGTTTTAGCGCTTCCTCCGTGGGCTCAGCGGGAGCGCTCTTTTGTCGAGGGGTTCTCACGGATTCAATCCCCCCACCGACTCCGGTGATCCCTGCGGTGTGCGTATTAACCCAACCAAAATAAAACAAATGATAATCTTGACTTAAAGCTTTCGTGACTGCAGGAATTCATACTCTTTGGGTTCTTTCGGTAAAGTCACGTAGATAGAAAAATAATACAATAATTAAAAAAAAATCGCGACCTTTCGATCAACCTGAAGACGATTGTGTCGCGATCGAAACGTGCTGATTTTTTTATTTTATTTTTCTATCTACGTGACTTTACCGAAAGACCCAAAGAGCACAAATTATATATATATTTTAAAAACTACGCGCCGTACCGCTTCACAGCGAAAGTTAAAGGTCACGGTGTGCCCGCGTCGCGGTCCAAATTTGCCAAACATTTGAAAAATCATGGGACCTTTCTTGACGGTGCAGCGACATCGCGGTATGGTGGCGGCCCTAGAGGGGCAACGGCGTGCGACGAACTCCCGTCGCGGACATCACGGGCGTAGGGACGTCGTGAATGTCGCTGTGTGGTGCCGGCTCTAGCGATGCACCGTCATCGCAGACGCCCCGTAGGTGGGTGTAGTACCAGCCCTAGTGAGGGCTCGGTGAGCGCTTGGATAGCGCTCAGTGGCACCCCGCGTGGCGTGCAGTGCTGACAGTGCTACAGGAGGGAGTGTGGGAGTGTCAGCCATGGGATGAGGTTACCCTTAGCCATGGCACTCTGGTTGACCCTGGGAGGCGCGTGATCAGTAAGATGTACACAGGGACCCCAGGTGGGGGCTTGGGGGTGGTCACGTGTCAGGGTGAGATCCTACGGGAAGGGTCGAGAACCGACAAAGAGGGTTCTCTCGAAGGTGGTCGTGGCCAAGGGCGTGGCCAGCCACGACCCAGCAGCATATAAACCGGGGTCCCCACAGGGATCGGGGTTCAGCGTTGCTGCCGTCATCTGAAGATCTACGATCGTCGTTCTGCGTCCTTGAAGAAGTCACCAACACGTGGACGAGGACCCCGGCTAGGGTCCTGTCCGTTGTAGCTACTCCCAGTAACTAGCGTGGTTAGCCTGGTGGTCCACCACCATAGGTTATCTGTGTTACGTGTTGGTATTAATAAATATGTTGAATTTTGATTTAAAGCTTTCGTCACTGCGGTAAAGTCACCACGTAGAAGGGAAACAATAAAATAATAAAAAAATACAAATATAATATATTGTTTTATATTTGTATTATTGTATTGTTTCCCTTCTACGTGACTTTACCGAAAGAACCAAGAATAATAAATATGTGTTGCTTCCAAGAAGTACGACTGAGACTCAGTTGAATCCACTACACCAGTATTAAAATATAATAATAGGGTTATACCCTCTCTGGCAATACAAAAGTTGTGTCAAGATGTTAAACACACCAAACAGAAACATTTTGCAAGGAATCATGTCTGCATTACCCACCCATACTCGTGGTGGACACGCAAACGACAACAACAAAAAACATGCTCTACTAATACGATTCTTTGCAAAATGTTTCTGCATTATGTTTTAACATCTTAACACCTGTTGTATTTACCGAAAGGGTAAAACCTATTCCTACATTTGAAAAATGACGCCGCACATTGCTCAAGTGGAAATTTTAGTAACCTAAATAACAATAATAGTTGTCGCAATAAAAAAAATAATTTACCTTATCGACAGACGTCCGGGGGGGGTGAGTGGGGGAGGTACTGGCTGGCCGCATCTCTTCTCGCTCCACCCAGCCCGGCCTCTCTCATCTTCTGGGTCCGTGTGAGCCTTCGGAGCAGGGGGGGTGACAGGGGGGGGTGACAGGGGGGGTGACATTCTGCGTATAAGTGTACGACACTCGGTCTGGCGGACTCCGTGCAACTGCATTGTCAGAGTGTGTCGCCAACCGATGGCGTCTAGTTCAACAGCCTGACTCTCTAATCATTCTTGAAATTAACATTTGTTGCATGTCATCCCGGCCTGAAATCCTGGCTCCGCCCCTGCTTCGGAGCATCGCCCTAATCCCGGGACAGGGCCGTCTGGAACGCTCCTCCTTCCGACGTTAGGCAGCCACTGGTGCCCTGCTATTTTAAATACAGATTGAAAATGCACTTCTTAACAAACCGCTTCTTTTCTATTCGGTTTGTTATCCATCCCTCCGCACCTCCGATTAGCAAGCTTGGCTCCGTACGGCGCGAAAGAAGTGCAAACATACATACGTGACCCAAGCCATGAACATGTTGTTGTAAATGTTGTGGTGGCAAAACAAATGAAACAACTCTTGGCACCGGGTCAATTGCTGTGGTTGGCTCTCGGACTCACGCGCATGGCCAGAGCAGCAGAGGTCTTGCGAGGAATACAAAGAGCTCAGTTGCAAAAGATTTTCACCCATTGATTACAATGCCAATTTACAACCAATTCAGATTAACTGGTGCCATTTGCCACGGAACCCAGCGTTTAAATCAAACTGAAGAGCGTGAGCTGCACAGTGGAAAGTTTAAAGAGGGAAATTTAATTTGAGCGTGTGCTCATTTATTTTCTTGTGCATGCAGCGAGTCTGCGGCATTGAACCCAGATGTACCTGGGACTTTGCATTCGCAGGCTTGGACGCAACACGAGTTTAACCCACGAGTGAATAACTTGAGTCATGCTCGCACGCTCGCAGGCACACGATGTTCACACTCAAACGCAGACCCACGGCACCGCCGTTACAATGCCTGGGTGTGAGTGTTGTTGACGGCCGGCGTGCACCGATCAGAGGGACGCCACGGTGGAGCGATGTTAACTACCTCGCCTGCAATGCAGGAGGTCGTGGCTTCGATCCCGACACCGAACGCCTGCTTTCTATATATATTTTGAGTTTGCGTGCCTCTCTCCCCGTGGCTGTGTGGCTTTTTTTCTCCGGATCCTCCGTTTTTTTTTTTCCATCCACATTTAGAATCTACGTCACGCATTCAGTGTATTTGGCTGCTGTACATTTCCACGCGATAAGCCACTTCGTTGAGCTATCATTTGCAATAGCCGGGTCGCTTCTAAAAAAAGAGCTACATAGCTCAATGGGGTCTTACCTGGTAAAATAAAAAAATAGTTTAGTTTTAGAACAGCGAGACCTGCAGCACCTGGCCGCTTTTGCCTTCCCCCCCAGCACCAGCTTCCACTCATCCCGGTAACAATCAACAACAATCAACTCACGTTGTGTATTCATTGATGTGTAAATCACAACACAGAATTCGATGGGCAACCTTCAAAGCATTTGCCCATTATAATTATCTCGAGGCTTTGAATCGGCGGAGCTGGGTGCTGTTTGGGGGAATATTTGAGATGAATAAATGCATCAATTAAAATTCTATTGTCACGCTCACAACACATGCATCGAAGCACGTGCGTGTGCGCGCGTGTGTGTGCGCGCGTGTGTGAGAGAGATAATTGATTGCTATCTTTTATGCAAATTGTATGCAAATTGCACACTTGCGTTTATGTTGAAGGCAATGGAGCGAGGATGAAGGGGACGAATGAGATGGAACGATACAACTGAGACGATAACAATCGGACAAAACTTTAATCAAAGTCATACAATTTTAAATCATATTGTAACACCCCGTCCCCCACACCTAAATCATGACAATTTATTGAATCGTCGATGGAGGGGCCAGATACATTTCTACAACCAGACGATCGGTTATATTCTGGTGCAACCGCAGTCAGTGAAAGCCACCGAAATGGGTACCCAATGTCAGACTCTACACACGCGCAATGGCAAAGATATTCCCCCTGCATAACATTATAGATTGTTGTGGCCACTTTCATTGGTGGGCACCTAATGGGGCCTGCTGCTTTTGTCTCCCCCGCTTCTAAAGTTTTACACAGCTCATTCGTTTCACGGCCGAGTTAGTCTAGGGGATGCCAAGATCAGGCTTGACATATCACTCGCCACTGATGCTTAGCCATCGCGGGGAATTGAACCCGGAGTCGCGGTGGTCCCGTAGCGCAGCGCCCTCACGACTGCACCACCGCTTGTTCCCGAAATTTCGGTGTTGCTTTTGGAAGTTGTTGGACTTATCACTCTCACGCTGGAAACGTCACCCGGGTTTTCCGTCTCTCTTCCTCCGTCACACATCTCCATCCGCGGAACAAATGTGGCATTGCCCGGTGACGACCCTCGCATCTCTCTGTCCGACGCCATCCAGAATTCACGGCTTCAATCTGTTGCTTGGTGGTACCACTATGAGTGTAATGGACGGATTACACATTGTGTGCAGAAAGCCGCTGCTCTGAGATTAACAAAAGCTCAACAACGACAACAACAAAAAATCAATCTTATGCTCATATAACTCCTGCCATATTCGCGTTGGTTTCGTGTGCAAATGTCGGATTGGTTTTAAGATTATGTTGCTTTCAGAATTGCAATCGTCATTTATCCTTGAGAAATCCGATGAGCTATGAAGCTCTTTATCACCGACGTCCAGTGACAGTACTTAGATACAAGACCCTTGAATGATCAGGCTCTGTCATACCCAGGAGATTACCTTCCTGGCCTCCACTCGCAGGTGACCTTTGGCCTGCAGACTCTGGACTCGAGCCGGTCTCTAGCACGAAACTTCCCTCAGTGGGCAACAACGCATTCTGTTTCTCTGCTCTAAGACTGAGGAATTGTTTGCCCAAGGCCGTCAGACACTTGGATAGCATGGGTATTTTTATTTTTTAAACCTATCTTTTAAACTCATTTTTATTCACTGGCCCTGTTGAAATTATTGAGTTTGGGGGTTTTGTTGCAGTAGTTATTGTTTTTTTGTTTGTCATTTTATTCTGGTTTTGAAAGTACTGTACATTGGCACATCGAGTGTTTCTTTGTGAAATGTGCAATACAAAACTCCGTTTTATTGTACAAAAAGAAGGTCCCCCATATAGCCTTGAGCAAACTGTTGGGGCAAGTGCAGTTTGCGAGCACCGACTGATAAGGCCGGCACAGCACACGAGGGGATTGCGTGGCGAGCACCGCGCACGAATGAGTGGTGTGGCTTGGACCACGTCCGGCCGCCTTTGTCTCCCCAGTTCTGAACTTTACACGTTTCACCAGTCACTCATTTAAGGCTGCATCGACATTGACGAGTCCAGGAAGTGATTCACATATGCGTCACAGATGATGGCCGTGAGCAGGAATCGAACTCGGGTCGTCGGCTTCGGTTTGCAGTGCACTCACCGCTACACTAGCATGTTTGCAGAAAATATTAAAGAACTTCAGCACACACACTAGCATGCAGGCACATATAGGCATGTAGAAATGCACCTAATTTGTAATCATAACTGATGGCCAAGGTAGTCTCCTCACAGCCACCCTCTGGCATAAGTGAAACACATTAATACCAGTTTAATGGAGAAAACTTTGGAAGACAATATTCAATAATGGAGCATTTCATCAACAAGCTGTGCACAACCTAATTGAGATTTTTCAGTGTAACAATAATTCATGATACAATTACGGTCTCCTTTGAAACTCCGTAGACATATTACGCGCTGGAAAGAAAAGATGCTCGGCCACAACTAAGACAAATGCTCCAAGCAGAACTCTACTGAAAACAAAATATCTGCAGGCTCATTTAAGCTTTCCCAATCGATTACATTGATTATTTAGTTATTTGGGGAACGAAGGACCATTGCCACAAAATGTCACTGATTTTATATTTTTCCCTATTATCGACGAATGTCTGTAATTTTAAATAATTCGAGCATTATTATTACCATCACCTTGCAATTGTTATTCTGAACATTTTTCCTAAAACGGTTAACACGAAATTGGTCATAATAGAGTTTATTTTGGGGTTATATCGCGTAAATATAAATGTGTCATTAAACCCACCACCACCCGCTACACACAATTAGTAAGGTTTGTCATGTAAACAAAACGTGCCAATTCGTTACTAGTTCAGCACACCGGTGTGTTGAAGAGCTAACCCACAACATTTACAATTCGAGTACGACGTTTCGCCAGTAATTACAACCAGCATCATCAGGCGGCATCCAGAGTTGTACGAGAGTGTTGAGTCAAACGTCCTGAGCTATTTGGATATATTATATATATATATATATTTACACAGTGAGAATATTACAATATTTGCTTCAAAACTTAAACATAATATATCTGGTAATAGTAAGTAAGGTTCGAGGTGCATGACGTTGAATTATACGTTGAACGTGTACAGTTTTGTATTATATTTCATTGTATCTATAACACCCCTTAAACCTGGTATATTCCACCACTAATTACGAATGCGTCTTTATTCTCATAGAGTCGCTTTGAGGCTCACAATGGGACAACGGTGATAGTGGAATGTTCCATTTTTTATAGGAAATTAAAACAACAGTTACACTACATTTAAAAATATACTATAATTAACCGAATCAAAGCACAATACTTTTTTTCTTGAGGAGCGAATATATTGGTTTTCTTTTTATCATTCCAACTTATTAGCGTCGGGTGCATTTTGCCGTACATTTATATTTTTTCACATCAGAGGACAATGTTTTTCACGCTGGGATTTTGCCGCAGGGGGTCCGAGAGAAAAGCAGCAGAACTTTCCTCAAGCCGCTCGCCAAGACCAGGATCAATGATCGCAAACCCATCCGTTAATTTTCACCCCGAAAGCCACGCTCGCGGTCAAAATGAATATTAATTGGACCGTTGTTGTTTTTTGTATTGCCCCCTCTAGTGAGCAGACTGCCCGCGGCCGATGGGCAATTGGAGGCGGGGTGGGAGTGGCGGAGTGCCTGGCCCGGGCCTCTTTCCCACAGTGA